TCTGTAGATCAGTTATATTTATCCAAAACTCACTCTTTTTCTCTCTGGGTTAATAAAAACTGCAAATGCTTTGTGGTCTGAAATACCTCTCAGAATAATGGCAACACAAAGAATTCTATTCTTGCTTAATATAATGATCATATGTGAATATCAGAGCCATAAAACTTAAGCCAGTAGCTGCTATTCTATTTCAGTGTATCATCAGGATGCAGTCAGCTATGGGCAAATACTTAACTGGTATAATTTGTAACTTTTTACATTCTTTTTGAATGAGGTGGTGTGCTATTGGGATAGATACTTTTCTTTTCCAATTGTTATTTGCCAAACAAGGGCATTCATTGAGCTTTTGATTCTAGACATATTATTTAACCAAATGTTTATCTGACACTTGGAAAATCATTCTCTTTTTTAAAATGTGGTGGTGGAAAAGCAATTACATTTTAAACAGTGTTTCAGAGTCACTTCCCAAAAATTCTCTGGAAGCAAACCTGAGCTTTCTTTGCTCTTTAACAACCTGTTTCACCCACCACCAGATATATCAGCTTTTTTAAAGCATTTAATGAAGAACTGAATATGACAACATGGTATATATTCCAAGACTATTTGACTTGCAATCACTGAAAAGAGATTAGAATGTGGTTAATATTTTGTCAAGATTAATGTTTACATTTATATGCAACCTACAGATCAAATATGGCCCAACTGTTATGTTTTTCCACACACTAAGAGCAAAGAAATACACACACACACCCAGAGTGTTCCAGTGTGGCAGAGATCAACTTCATCTTTTATTGTGGTGCGACTGTAAGTCCCAGCATGCAAAGCCCCATCTTTATTCAAACAGTCTTCCATTCAAAGATGACACTTTGCATGCTGGGACTTGTAGTATCTACAGGCTGCACCTTTGTCTTTTTATTCCTATGAAAGAAGAGGGTGGCTGAAATCTATTTTATGTAAATACAGATTTGAGTCACAACATATGGATATGGATATTGAATACCTCAAACTGTGGGGATTTTCTGATAGGAGATTTTGTTTTGGCCAGAGACAAGAGGGACTAGTTGTGAAATTCTGATGCTGATCTGGATTCTAACCTACCACCTTCCTAAATTCAGCAGTGTTGAAATCTAGGATTATATTTTGCTCTTGTTGCTGTTAAAGGACCAACTCTAATTTTACACAAATTAATTTAATTCCTCAGGGCTTCTGACTGATAGCCAAGGTAGCGGTCAGTTGCTGGGTAGTCAGTCAAAGCAAAAAATGGGGGGGTAAGAAACTTTCATTAGGGAAGTTTGGGAGAATGTCGCTTGTGTATCCTTTATTTATAATAAGGGATTTTAGAATTAATTTCTGCCAGGTTGCGTATGGAAGGAGGGCAACGCCATCTGCCAAACAAACTGGTAAATAAATACATTTGGCAGAATACCTTGTACATTTTCCAATATATATTTGGAAAAAGTGTAAGGCATTCTGCCAAATGTGTGTGTGTGTATATATATATATATATATATTTACACACACACACACTTGGGATAACTCAGCTCCCCCAGAACTCCCCTTCCTCTCTGTTTGGCAAAGTGAGACTTACCAGACAGGAGAATCACAAGTATGAGCAGCAAGGTAAGCTAGTGTCTGGCTGGGGAATTTATGGGGCACCTGGCCTTTCCTGCCAATGGGTGGAGAAGCACCAGCATCTGATGGGGAACAAGAGGTGTTGCAACTGGGAATCCCCTTTTTCTCTAAAGCAAGATCTATAGCTCCCACCCACCATATTGGTTCCTTCTCCCCTTACATGGGAGAGAAGACAAAGTAAAAACTCTGCTGCATCTCTCTACCCTCTAGAAGGAGAAAATCCCCACCATCTACCTCTCACATCAAGGGGGAAAAAGACATAATAATACACAATAGATTTTATTTTCCATAACATCTCTCCATTGAAATATCTTGGAAATTGCAACAACCTTTTGACGGAAAAGGACTCTCTGATCTCTTACATGTATTTCTTTTGCTATTAAACAGATTCTCCAACCTGGTAGATATTAGAGAAGAAAACATCACTACCCAGCTCCACACTCATGTACACACTTGCTTGGTTGGCAAGGAGCCTCCCTGGGAACATGAACTTCCTTCAGATTCACTTCTTTTCTTGACCCCATTCTCTTCCTCTTGCTGCAGCCCAGCAGAACAAGAGGAGGTAACGTTGCATTACCACATGGCAGCAAGACATCTGAAGACAGCCATCAAAACAGGCGTGAGAGCAGAATCAATCCCTTAATTTTTTTATTCAAAAAACCAAATTCTATAAAACAAAAATGCTAAAAAATTGAAAGGGTAGGTGCCTCTCCTGTGGGCACAACATCTTGGCTCAACTGGGGAAAACTTAGGTGAACTTGGTCAATGCCATTGCCTCCAAATGTGTCTGAAACGTCTGAAGTGATGGCAAGATAATGCTACTGTATCTCCCTTTCCTTGCCTTTTCAAGAAAATGGATTCTAAACATTGCAACTATCAAGGTATCCATCTCTGAATGTTCAGGAAAGTCTACTTTCAGTAAAAAAAGGGCCCTAGGATAAGATTCTGTAATGTGCTGTGGAGTGGAAGTCTCAGTTTAAAAGTAGATGGACACATTATACGGGAGCAGTGGAAAGAACAGAGTGTACTGTGGAAACTGGCACACATACGCCTGAGTATTTTACAAAAGACATGAGAGAGATTCCAAATGTTAAATTATAGCAGGTGCAGGATTCATGGCCAGTTTTTGTGGTTTATCAAATCTCTTTTACAGGGAGTGTGGGGGAGGTATGATTTGATCAAGGTCAAATGCTCTTGTAGTACATTTCAAAAGTAACTGTCTAACATTCTTATTCCTGGATACATCATGAATAAACAAATTACTATCAGGATCAGTTGGTTTCTGAAAATAACTTTACACTATGTGAATGGCAATTAGCAGATATAAAACCATATGCCCATTAGAAAGTACTATTAATAATAATGGGCACCAGAGCACAGTTGCCAACTTTCATGCAGTAAATAAGCACCCTGACTTTCACAATAAGCCAAAAATCAAGCTCATCCTATTCCAAAAAAAGGCCAATCCCTAAGAACCCCAACACTCTATGTGACTAGATCCCTCTGGCGTGCAGTCTGGGACTGTGGTGAGGCCCGCTGTGCCCCCCTGACTCTCTCCCGCCTTGCCCGTGCTTGCCGGGAGCCAATAAAAAAAAAAAAAAAAGAAGCAATAAGCTACAAGCCAAAAACTATCCAAGAAGCAACTCACAAGCCAATTAAGCCAAAAACAAGCCCAATTTCTGCATTATTTTCATGGGTTTGGCATGTCTGCACCACAGTCCCCAGCTTCTCTACAGGGCTGCTCCTTCTGCAGACCTGTGCCTCTTCAGTCAAAGTCCTATTGATTCACAAAGAGGAGCAGCAATCAATCATATAGCTTTGGGTCAGTATTTTAAAAAAGCCTACAGGAAAGGTCTACAGGAAAGGTCCAAAATACCATACCACAGCAATAACAGTGTTTTCGCTATCACTATATGGACCAAATGCTGATGGTCTGCAAAATATTTCTCATGTCTTCTGGTTGAAAACTCTCCTCCTATAGAAGTTGTAGTTCTGTCCTCTATATGCGGCTCACTAAGGCTCCTCCCTGAGTCCTCAGTGCTTGCTGGCTCAATGGAGTGAGGTAGCAACAATAACAAGGGATGCCCAAAACGGAGTGGTGTTCAAATTTTACAAGTTTTAAAATCTGGCCACAGGGGTATAATATTGTTGCCAGCCATAGCTCTGCTAGTAAATGATGTTATTTTAAGTAAATGCATTTTCTGATCCAGGGTGGTTCTATATGGAAAAGGCCATGGTATTTGTCAGAGAAGGTCATAAATGAGTCATTGTGCACTAAAGATGTTTCTTGTTAAACGGCTTGCTAAGAACTAATACACTGAGGCATCCATGAATTAATCCAGCCCCACATATGTCAGAGGCGTTAACCTGTTGAAATGTTATTTAATTAACTAAGATTCCTGTTTGCTCCAAAATAGCTTAGATGGCAGAAATAGTATCAAAAGAAGCAGTGGATGGGAAATAATATGCATTGAATCATAGAATATAAGGGTTGGAAGAGATCTCAGGCGGTCATCTAGTCCAATCCCCTGCTCAAAGCAAGATCAGCATAGACCAACACAACTAAATCATCCCAGCCAAGGCTTTGTCAAGCCGGGCCTTAAAAACCGCTAAGTTACCTCCCTAAGTAACCCATTCCAGTGCTTCACCACCCTCCTAGTGAAATAGCGTTTCCTAATATCCAACCTAGACCTCCCATACTGCAACTTGAGACCATTGCTTCTTGTTCTGTCATCTGCCATCACTGAGAACAGCCTAGCTCCATCCTCTTTAGAACCCCCCTTCAGGTAGTTGAAGGCTGCTATCAAATCCCCCCCACCCCACTTCTCTTCTGCAGACTAAATAACCCCAGGTCCCTCAGCCTCTCCTCGTAAGTCATGTGCCCCAGCTCCCTAATCATTTTTGTTGCCCTCCGCTGGACTCTCTCCAGTTTGTCCACATCCTTTCTATAGTGGGGGAACCAAAACTGGACGCAAAACTCCAGGTGTGGCCTCACCAGTGCTGAATAGAGGGAAATAACCATTTCCCTCGATCTGCTGGCAATGCTCCTACTAATACAGCCCAATATGCCACTGGCCTTCTTGACAACAAGGGCACACTGCTGACTCATATCCAGCTTCTCGTCCACTGTAATCCCCAAGTCCTTTTCTGCAGAATCTGATGAGCTGCAGATTCACTACCGTTCTACTTCACTGCCAGGTATGACTCTGAGGATCTAGATCAGAAGCAGGAAAGGTCAGGAGGGCAGACCAGTAAGCCCAGACAAGCTTGGTAGAAACTGTTTGAAAGGGACTGTCCTGAAAGGAAAGGATGTCTTGAGATCTTGCCAGGAACTAGACCAAGTGAGCAACTCTCCCGTTTCTTCTTTAAGCTTCAAGACTGAGGCCCAGAATATCAGGAGGTCTGAAGAGGAAGGATTAATACTGAGATCTACCTAAGAGTGTACAGATGACACAGTGCATCCATGGGTGAGACCAATAATTTTTTTGGACACCGTACTCAGATACTAGGGTGATTGGCCATATAGCAAAACTATATATAAATGTTATATAGATAGACCCAGATAAACTGTATGCCCATCTGAGATGGGCACAGCTCACAGCTTGGAGAGGTGCTGCAGCTGCATGCTGGGTATGCACAGCAGAAAAGCCATGTGCCAGCCACTGTGTGGATGTGGTACAAGTGAAGAGATTGAACTTGGGCAGGGAAAATAGAAGAAGTGGGGCTGCTTTGTTAAAAGAATGGGATGATGTGTTGTGAGATTACATTAGGAAACAGTTGGGTGTATGATAGTTTGGGCCCATGGGTGCTGTTATGGGGCTCCACTCACCACGCTGGTGCCTCCTGCTGGTCGTCTTGCGGACTAGCTCTGCAAGTCAGCATGCCCAGTCCCGGTGGTGCCTCGTCCACTGTCACTTCTGCTCCTGGACCTACATCACTCCAAGGACTGTAGTGTTCTCTTCATAACACAGCCCTCTGGATGTGTCATGATGTGTACGCCACCTCCCCCCTTTCCGCTTTCAGGGGTGAGTATTGCAGTCCAACTGTCCTGTCACTTTCCCAGTGGCAACTGCAGACAATTGTCCAGCCACTTCCCTGTGACCCCAACACCCTCTTCACCCTTGCCTCAGAGCCTCAGCTGACCCTGCTCTGCAACTCTTCTTCTATGTCCCAGCTGAGCCCTGATTGGCTGTTTCTTACAGCTCCTCTCCTACTGGCTGCTTCCTGCGCAGCCTCCCAAGAGCCCTATTAACCCCTTGCATGCCAGTGTGGGGTGGATGCCCCATGAAAGGCACACATTGGGTGGATCTGGTCATGCCAGTATAATTTTTTTTAAACCCAGCTGTGAACTTTAATATTTGTTAATGAAGGTCCTCATTGAGTTATGTATGTGAACAATGACAACAATCTACTCTCTCATTCTGATTTTCTTCCTCTTGGCTACGGAAAAGTTGTCTGGTAAGTTTCAAGTTTCAGAAGCTTTCGATATACTAGGGGACTCTGTACCCATTTTCCAGCAAAGGTGCAACAGCACCAGTTCTAGCATCAGCATAAATGCTAGTATGGATGGCGTCAATTATCTCTACCACTGTGTCATGAAAACCTGCCCAGAGTTGGGCCAGATTTTCAATATTAGGGAAGTGTAATTATTTGTATTTCCCTAAATTATACTTGCAAATACCAACTGCACATGTGCAAAGCATCTAATAAAGTGTCATACAAATTCAGCAGACAACTTGGAGGCAAGCGTAAGTCTAATTTAATCAGAGCAGATGTTCATGACATAGTGGTAAAAACACCTGATTCCTGTCTATGCTCGTGTTTACACTATTGCTAGCAAAAGGTACGGTTGTAGTGATGCTGGAAAACATGGACAAAATTTTCTAGTGTAGAAAGAGTCTGTGTAGCCAAGACAATCTGTCATGCAATCACATACACGAAGGTATTTTCTAATTTTAAATACCACTAAATGACACCTTTTATCAGGAATAGTGTGTGAGAGGACAATCAGGAACACTACAGTCCTGCCAAGTTGTGTTCATTTGGAGGGAGACTCCTTGTGTTGGAATAAGATTTAGGCTGTTTACAAATGCACTTGTGATGAGGGATTTGGGGGTATGTTTCAATGAGATATTTAAAACCTTGTTCAATTTTTTAAAAATCTCCCTCCAATGGTCACAACTTGAGAGCACTGAGTCTATCTGGGACCAAAAGTGGGAGAAGGTACCTGATCATGAATGCTGTAGATCAGCTAATTCATATAACATATTGCAACAAATCTGTGATGGCATACATATAGACATCACAGTCAGCACCTCTAGCAGGCTAGATAGAATTCACACATCCAGGAGTCAGGACAGAACTCAAGATTTTTTTTTTCTGCAAAAACATAGGCCTCTGTAACAGGAGTAAATGAGAACTTCCATTAGCTCTAATAGCATTAAGGCTCATATTCTCTATGGTCCAGCTATTGAATTGAGATCTTCATGCACAAGTCTGACCTTTGTCCAGCTGAGTGTGTGTATAGATATATATGTGTGTGTGTGTACACACACACACACACAGAGCACATTAAAATAATTCAGTTCTGATTCTGAGCACATTAAAATAATTCAATTCTGATTCTGCTAATTATCTTACTCCACTAATTGTTCTAAATTCCCGAGTTGGGCTTTTAAAATCTCAACCTTTGCCTTTTGTTACCCTATCAATGGCTCTCCCACCTCACTGCAGTTTCAGCTCCAATTTATGCATCTTGTTAATTGAACATCAGGACCTATGTTGTTTTTTAAACTTCTCTCCAACTCGAATCTGGTTGGCCCCTTCTGCACTCACAAAACCTGAGCAATTTGGTTGCCCTGAATTGTTCTACCATCCTTAATACAGACCTTTCTAAACATTATAAACAAAAGCACTTTAGGAACAATGAAAAACATTACACACACATTTTTAAAATGCTTTCTGTTATAATCATTTTTTTCAGCCAAAAACTGTGCATTCATTAAAGTGGCCTTTTTGATGATGGCATATACATTCGATCTTTTGGTAAGAAACATCTGGAAAATGTTTGGAAAATGAAAAATTTCTGGAAAAATTCTATAGAATGCAATGAAGAGAATACCTGTATACATTTTTGGACTATCCAACTGAAGTTAATAGAGAATTATTAACCTGCTATAGAATTGTCAGGATGGGTTAAAACAACCAATCTACAGAAAGGCTCTCATTTGCTATCAAATTCTATAGGTTTTTAGAGCATCTTTTAACAGAAATCTGTTCACTTTCTGTAGATCCCTGTTGGTTTTATCCCAGTCATAATTCCTATTACATGCTGTCAGACTTTTTCCACAAGGGAAGTGACAGTCAGAAAGGATGCTTGGAGCCTCTTCTGTCAACTGCAGCCAGTCTCCTGGGTAAATAAAATGATGATCTAATGGATAAAGAAATAGCCCTGACCTGAAATGAGAGTGTCATCTTAAATTAAGGGACGTAGCATTACCTAGTGGATATGACACTGGACTTGAAGAGTCAGGATACCTGGGTTCTGTTCTTGGCTTTGCCACTGACCTCCTATGTGGTCTTGGGCAAATAATTTCCACTCTCTATGCCTCTGTTTCCCCTCCCATTCTGTGTTTGTGTTGTCTAGTTAGATTGTAAGCCCTTTGGGGGCAGGAAACATCTCTAAATATTTTTGTACTGTGCCTAGCACAACAGAGCCATATTCTTGGCTGGGTACTTCAGGAGAACTAGAATAAATAATAACTAGCTTTTTGGGATGATATGATAACCTAGGTCTCTATGAGGTTTCTGGCTCAGCATTAGTGTTTGGAGAAGATTAGATGAATTAGGAGAGGGAGGTCAGCAACTCTGGTGACACGATATCATCATAGGTGTGACATCATGTGGTGAACTAATAGTGCATTTTCTACTTGTGTGATGGGAAATGTGATGGGGCATGTCACGAAGAAAACAAAAGAGGAAATGAAACAGGCTCCTTTCAGATACGATTATGTTTTCAGACAGAATCATGGCCAATCATACAAAAGAATGTGTCTATTCCTGCACAACACGAAGCTGTGTATAGGAACCCCCATACCACCCACGCACCCCTCAGTGGATGGGAGAGAGAGCTGAGGGGGACATTGTTTCCCCTGGATTCTGCCTTGGGAGTGGGAGGTGACAGGGTTTTCCTTTTCCCCTAGACAAGGAGGAAAGCTGAAAGAAGCAGGCTCTCAGTTTCTTGCACTCCAGGCCATCTGGAGGGGAGTGGGAACCAGCAAGGGGACAGATCTTTCTGCAGGTAAAAAAAAAAAAAAAAAAAGAGGAAGATTCACATGTTGGGCAAATCTTTTCCCATTAGGCACTGGTGCTGTTCTGCATACTGGAAGGAATGCTTGGAGACTCATACACTTTCCTGCTAGGCACCAGCTCTTCCCAGTTGAGATTCTCTTGCCTGATGAGTCCTCATTTCATCAGCCACTGAAGAAGCAGGAAGAGGGACAATGCCCTTTGCTTTAACCTCTGTGACTGCCTTGAAAGGTATGCCTATAGTGCAAGTGAGGGTGTGATTAGTTGGCGATTGGTCCTTTGAGCAGGGGGTTGGACTAGATGAGCTTCTGAGGTCCCTTCCAATCCTAATTTTCTATGATTCTATGATTTGGAGGGGCAGAGGGGGGGATAGGCATATCCATTCTAGCTTTAATCTAGCTAGCACAGGTAACAATAGCAGTGTAGATATGATGACATAGGCTTCAGCACAGGCTAGCAACGTGAATAGAAGCCTGCCGGGGAACCTTGGTGTGTGATTATGTTGCTAACCTGTCCCATCACATCTTCACTGCTCTTGTTACCCATGTTTGTTAGATTAAAGTTAGCACAGGGTATGCCCACCTCTGCTACAAACATACTTTGCTTGCAGTGTAGATATAGATGGTAAGCTCTTTGGGGTAGCAACTGAATTGTGTAAACAGCCTAGCACACTGTAGGCATTATGTAGATCATAACAAAAAATCTCTCTACTTGTCTGTCCATCTTTTAGACTGTGAGCCCCTGGAAACAAGGACTGTACTTTCCTGAATGTGAGGAAAGCGCTATCACAAATATGCAAACAACAACGATAATGATGAGAATAGTAATGACCCAGTTTTGTATTCCAGAGTCCACTTACCCTCCATTAGAATGGGAATTGTTGGTGCTCAGTTTTTTGTTTTCACAGCTTGCAGTAGCACCTGTTCCAAAGGCAATTGGAAAAGCTTGTCCATATCCAGATTCTTAATTTCCAACCCACGAGCAACATTTTAGGGCTTAAGGCACAGTACCATATTTCACTTTGTAAGAACTGAAGATTTTATGTGAACTTGTGCTATTCAATCCTCATTCAGACTTTCCTGATTCAGCTGAAACACCAGAAGGAGGCAGGCTCTTCCGGCACTTATCAGATGGTCTGGGGCATCTGAGACCTCCTCTGATATTTAATCGTGCCAAACTTGTGACAGTATTTACGGTGCAGGTGATTCTTTTCTAAACGGAGAAACTTGGAAAGATGTGCAAACTGAGCTGCACAATCATCTGTCCAAAATGATAGAAGTGCAGAGTTGCAATTTAAACGGACTCATCTTAGAGGCTAAGGAATGAATTGGTATGGAAAAAAGTCATCACTTCATGATGAGTTGATGCCTCACAATCATACTGAGTCTCACTGCTGAAGGATTCCTGTACCGCTGCTTCCTGTGCATTGCCATTTCTGTAGCAAAATGTGGGACTTGGTGCTCCAAAGGTCTCAGTCCGGCATATTCCACCAGCACTAAATTCTTTTTAAATTAGGACAGGACTGATTCATGGTGGAAGGTGATCTGCCTGTTTGTTATCTTTTACATATAATACACACCAACAAATAAACACAGCATGAGTTAAGAATGAAGCATCAGTCCTTATTTGAAAACGACTGGCATCTGGCAATTTGTTTCACCACAACCTCCGCATTGTATATATTTGTCTTCCTTGCCTTTTTCCTATGTGTTAAGTGTATGAAGCACCAATTATGTCACCTAGCTGAAAGGTGATGACCATGTGTTAAAAAATCTTAAACTAGGACACTTTTGTGGTAATATTTTTAGGGGCATGAAATAGTCTTTCAAAAGATAAAAGTAGATTTTTCTTAGAATGTGTTCTGAAATTGCCAGCTTCGTTTGGCTCACCAGTGACACCTGCATATTACTTAAGAGTGGAGAATTTTTTCCAGTAACTGAGTTCTGAACATGTATCATGAAACACTGAACAAATACTGTTAACATGCACTTTTGACCGGAAGAACAACTTTGATAGTAGCTAAACCACTTGGACTTTTCTCTTCACTTCAAATGCTACTCATCACAGTGTGCATTCGTTCCACTCGATTGTTTCTTCCTGGTAAGAGAGCACATTCTCCATTCTATAGCAATATATCTGCAACAAACAGAGTAGCTATTTAAAAAATTCTATTGATGGAATAAAAAACTGGAGCATTTCTGTGGTTCCAAAAGTAGTTCCTCAGATCCCAGGACATCAAATAAAGTGTCTCGATGCATGGTCGTTTTACCCAGTTGCTTTTTCAACTATCAAGATACAAATATTTTTAAAGAAACAGATTTCCTTTATCTATCATGAATTACATGATGCATTATGCATTACAATTACATCATGTATTACAATTATTATCTTGAAATCAACCCAGCTCGCTAGAGGGGCTGAAGGCATATATGCCTTGACTTCAAACCAACAAACTACAGGTGCAGTCAGTGAGGTCACAGAGACCGGTCCAGCAAGTCTACAACAGCTGAGCCAGTGAGTTCTCAAAACTCCATGTACTGATCTCAGGCTAGCAGGCTACTGAGCCAGTGTCCTCACAAAGGTCTGCCTCTCAACATCAGAGCAGCAAATTGCCACAATACCGGCAGTGCTGAAACCAGGATGTTAACCCGTGCTTGAACTCAGGACCAATAACCTTACAGAAAAGGAGTGTTAGGGCTGAGGTGGGGCAGAGATTAAACATCATCCCCCCCAATCTCAACCAGCTCTGTGTAGTTGTCCATGGTAAATTAATACAGCTATTCCATAGAGATAATGCCCTCAACAATGAGAGTCTCCTTTTAAGGGAAGGTCATAAGGATAGCTGTAATATATAAGCCCTAGTACTCTGGCTTAAATGCAGCCACATTGGCAGAAAGTAGCATAGGGTGGTTCACCTGATTCCAAAACTGGCAGGGAGGTGTTGATGCCTCAACTCATATTGACCCAGGTGTCTGGTGATTCTGGGGAGATTTATGACATTTGGTGGCTGAATTTCCTGTTTCAGCTGTTGTTGCCTCCTCCAACGGAAGAATACACAGGAAACTCCATGAAGAGAATTTCTCTTTGTTTCCTGCACCTACAGGATTATTAACGTACACACTCAATCATGGACTGAAATAAAAATATTTTAATGGTTAAAACAGAAGTCCTCACCTGAGTCTGGGTGACTGAAACGTAGGGTACTTAACCTTGAGAGATGTAAACTTACCTTAAGCGGATGATTACTAACCCATTAGTGTCTGTGCAGAGACTGATACACATTGTATGATGGTTGGTTTGTTCGCTGTCTTTTACATATAATAGAGAACAGAAGTCAGAATGTGAAAATGTCACTGTACATTGCCGGTCTTGCTTAGTTTTGCCAGTAAATAATAGTTACCTGGAAGATGGTGTTGAAATGGTTCAAGTGTTCATTGGTGATCTTAGTACAGCATCTACAAAACAGTTCAAAGCACCTTCTGCAACATGTTGTGCGTGAGATGTCCGAATTGCAGGATGACCAAAAAAGTGCAAATCCAGTTGTCTTTGCCTTCTTTTCCATTTCTGATAAATTAGCTCTGTGTGGCTTATACCATGTGCAATATATATTCCTTCATTTTCCCCCATGACCTTTCACCCAGATTTCTTCAGTTTGCACATGAAACCCATGATTACAGGAGTTGTCTGAAGCAAAGGCTCCTGGTAGCCAGAGGGAGGATTCTCAAATTGTGAAAGTTATAAAATCCTGTGACATTTATGAAATGCATGACAAATCAGATAAGAAATACATGCCAGTATGACATCTAGTTCCCATAAAACTAGTACTGTAAGGGAAAAAATGGTGAGCAGTATATTAGGACCTTTTTTAAAAGCATTAGCATTACAATACTTCATTACTTCAGCCAGCGGCTAGAAGAAGCCATGACTTCCCAGGTGACTTCCATAGTAGTCATCCACTCAACATTTTTAGCATGAAAGAAATCCAAAAGCACGAGTGATTTAAAATGGACCTCATTTCATATCTGCAGAATATGAAGAATTTCTGAAGAGAAGAAATGTTAAGCACAGATGTTCTTCTATTTATTGTCTCCAAGACAATGCTTAAAAATAAAGTTTTGAAAAAATTCTTACCACCTGCTGATGGAGAAGAAAAACCTGTAGATAATTTGCCATAGATTTCTCACAGAACTGCCAACTGACCTGAAATGTCTTCTGAAGAACTGTTGCATACTAGGCATAGACAGACAAGGTTACAAGCTAATTTACACCTTCCCACGCATAGGTACACTGGTGGGAAGACAAGATGCAGAGCTTTCCCTGTCAGCATGCCTACACAAGCAGGTGCGTTATGTTGCCCTTTTTGGATGATCAGTGGCAACTGATCATGTGCAAAGCACAGACCTCTACCACTTGAATTAAAGAACTAAATTAATTTGCTGGGGGCTGTCATCTATGGCTTCGCCCACACAGGAGACAAAGCAAGTTTTGCCAGTTTCTCTGCAAGCCTATTCCACGTTTCTACAGCATATAGCAGTTCAGATCCCCATGTGGGCTACACCACTTGGAACTCCCCTTTGGTTAGGTCATCAGTGAGAATGGAAACCAAGAGTTCTAGCTTTAAAGCTCAACCTCAATCACTTGACCGAGAAGACCAAGTCCAATCGGTGGGGATCAGAAGCAGGTGACTATCCTTTGTCAATTAGTCACAGAGGGGACATGCAACATATTTTACCAGTATGTCAGATAGCCATAACTTGGTCTCCCAGCACTGCAGTGTGCAAGGGCTACTGGCAAAAGCTATGACTGGTCCCAGAGAGGATATGTTTGGGGTGTGCGTGAGTGTGGCTCCCACATGATAGATGGTTGTGCTGGGAGGAGTGCTTGCTACTCCACTTTTAAGGTGTAGAGATATTTTATTTGTTTTTCAACTACATACTACCTCTGACCCCACTGCTTCAACAGAGCACCTTATCTAACATGCTTCATCCTCATAAGAGATAAAATGGAGCCTTCAATATTGATGTTCTTCAAAAACCAAGATCTGATAAAACACATAAAGATGGGAATGGGTAACAGGGGACAGATCACTTGATGATTACCTGTTCTGTTCATTCCCTTTGGGGCACCTGGCATTGGCCACTGTCAGAAGACAGGATACTGGGCTAGCTGGACCTTTGGTCTGATCTGGGATAGCCATTCTTATGTACAATTCAGGAGAAGAATATGTATACGGCTGTTTTACAAAAGTGCAGTGTAAGTAAATGGTACAAATATGGATACAAAGAAATTCATAGGATCTGATTATTGGATTAGATTAATTTTAGGGGTCAAATATGTTGTTTTATTTTCATATAACCTGCAAAGATTGCCTTCAGAATCTATATTTTCCCAATAAACTGTTGCATATGAGACCTTTTTTTTATTGAATTGCTTTGAAAAGTAATGACAGCCTATGTGGAGCAGCTGTTTTTCAGAATTTAATATCCTGTCTATTTACATTTTTACAAGATACCAAAGGTAATTAGAACTGTACTATTCATTAATTCAATGCCAAATCTGGGGCTTGATCCTGCAGCCTTTACCCAGGCAAAACTCCCATTACAGTTAAGAGAAGAATTGCATTAGTAAGAACTGCAAGATCAGCCACTTAATTGCTCATATAAAATGTGTTTTTCCATTATACTTGTAAAAGTGCACAGTCTGAAAAACAGATCCTGTGTAACTTAAAAGTAACCAAGCCAAATTTCTTTTAAACTTAATTAAAGAAAATAATTTGCATCTAAGATAAGAGCACACATAAGGAGATTCACCTGGGAATGAAATTTCACGTCCAGACCATAAATCCCTACAAATAGGGACATATAATGGAAGTACTAACATGCCCTTAACTCCAGTGGTGTGACAGTGCCAATGTAATGAAATCCAGCACCACAAGGCTACAACTATATAGCAAAATATCAAAAAATAAACAAATAAGAACATGTTGAGAAATTACACAGAAACCCTATTAAACATTTTAAAGGGTAATAAAAATGCCTTTGACCCATTAAAAGTTCTCTGCTGACTATAAGAACCAGTGCCAAATAGTGTCAAAGCTTTTACAATGAAAAAGAAAATTTAAAAATCCAAAAACTACAGTACAGGTTCCTGTTCAGTAATTAAACAAATGTATTGGACAAAGACCAAGATACACACACACAGCCCAGTACACCACCC